TTGCTTGATAAAAACGGTGAACTACGTAATCATTGCTAAGAAAATCACTAAGAAAAAAATCAGCGCATCGTACTAAAACAATAATTTCAATGAATAAAATAATACAAATGAAATACTAAATTAAGAAATAAATGCATAAATTACATATTTATATATAAATAGGACCAATGTCTTAGTATACATTTTACATTATGTACACTATGGGGACTACGTACTATGGCCACAGAAAGGAGCTTGCCTATCCTAATAAACGACTTTAGGCTCAGAACTTCATGATTTACGCATTCGAACTACGACGTCATTCAGCCTGTTTAGAACTGTGTAAGGATCGACGAAGGGTAATAGTAGTTTAGGAGAAATTCCTTTCAGTTGTATCGGATTCCAAAACTGTACATTGTCACCTTCGTTGAATCGATATCCTCTAGCTCTCGTGTCTTCATCTTCTCCGTCTCCAAGTTAACTCACTCTCGAGTAAAATTGTACATCACTTCATATCGTGTCTGGAGATCTTGAATGTACTCCTCATGCGATGAAGATTTGGAAAGCGGCCAGCAGGAGATCACAAGGCAGGCGAAGGTCACGACCGAAGATCATCTGGAATGGGGAATAGTCAGTAGTCGTGCGGACAGGCCAGTAAATACAGAAGTAACTTCTGATCCCAGTCCTGTTGGTTTCTGGAGACCATCAGAGAGAGGTTATTAAGGATGATTCGATTAAACTTCTCTACCATGCCATCTGATTGTGGATGTAAAAGCGTCGTTTGGGTTTTGTCGATACCGAATAACTCGCAGAGTTCTTTAATTGCAACCGAGAAAACATTCCTGCCTTGATTACAGCGTTACTGCAGAGGCACTCCAAACCTAGAAATCTAATCCTGTATCATTACTTCTGCTACCGTGACAACTTCCTGATCAGGGATAGATATGCTTTAGGTCACTTCGTGAAGTAATCACTGAAAATCAGGATGTATGTGTTGCCATCAGGCATTTTAGAAGCATCAGCTGCTATCGGAATGCCTTTCATTTGATTCGAACTTTCGATATAAGATGTCATCGAATATGAAGAGAGTCCCAAGAGCGCAATTTTATCCGACTTAGGGCTATAGATCGAAATGTCTCGTCAGGTAAATTTCCTATATGAAGATTCCATTAGGTTAAATTGTGGGTGTAATGTCGTCGTCTTCTAACTGGTCTTTCTTATCGTCTTCGTCACTCCATAGGTTGGAGTCAGACGATGTTGAAGTTGCAATCTGACGTGCGACCGAATTAACCAGATCATATTTTACTTCGACACTGGAACAATTTTGGCAGAAATATTCTACGGCTTTTAACTATGGCTTTTACTAAACAACTCTATTCTTAGGACACCCTATTTTCTCTCCGGTTAGCATAGAAACATGCTCTAGTATGCTACGACACGTCCTTGACACAAACAGCACATGGTTTGCTCAGCTGAAGATACGTCAGGATTCTCGCAGTTGTTAAAGCTCCTTCAGTTTGTTAAGTGCAACGTCAGATTCTTTTGTCAGCAAGAACTTTTGTTTGCTCTCTGTCAGCTTTTGAAGTGCTCTTGCGATGGAAGATAACTCTTTCACAAATCTCTTGTAATAGGTGCAAAACTCCAGGAAGCTTCTCAGCTTATTGAGATATTCGGGGAGTCTTCAACCTTTAACTGCTGATACTTTCATTGGATCCGTACACATATCTTCAGCAAAAATGACACGCCCGAGGTACGTCCCTTCCTCTCTGAACAATTTACATTTGGCAGGAATTAACTTTAAACTGGCCTCCTTCAATTTCTGAAGCACCTTCCTCATATGTTTGAAATGATCTTCAAACGTTTTCCCGATGATGATGATATGATCCAGGTATATCAGATAGGCTTGAGGCATTATCTTGAACTGCCAAATTCTTTGCCCGGTACTAAATGCCATCTTTTCTTGGTCATTAGTGCATCTTCTACTTATCAATATTCACTCTTTAAATCAATCGTCGAAAATCACTTGCTTTTAGAGCTCTGTTTCTTCGTGGTGTCGTTCAAATGGCGATAATGAATGCAAAATCTAGTTGAACAGTCCTTCTTTCTGACCAAGGCGATTGGAGAGGCCCAAAGACTTGCTGAAGGCTCGATAATGTCGCTTTCCTGTATGTCCTGTAGGAGTTTTCCTAACTCTTAGGGTGGGATTTGATAAGGCCCTAAGCTATTTGAGATATGGGGCCCTTTATAAGTCCAGATATTATATGTCAGTGCCAAATATTATTTCCGGGTATCTAGAGGGTTTTTGGGGGAGGGCCCTTAGGATAGCGGGGGCCCTAAGCTATAGCTTATGTAGTTTATACGTAAATCCTGCATTGCTAACTCTACCTATAGAGTCTACCTATAGCTATAGAGTCTTGGATTGGCTTGATTGGTGGATGATCCCCTATGTCAAAACTATGCTATATCGACCTACCTCAAAAGATGTGCGGGAGAAAACATCTTCAAATTCTTGAATGACACATTCGACAGCACTCTTCTGTTGATCGCTTAGATGTGCATTTTGCGTTAACTCCTATGTTACGATCTCCGAAGACACTGACTATGACTCGTTTAACGTAGATAATTGGTGTACATGCTGCAGGTACTTAACCTTTCCTACTTGCCTTATCACTTACGTTGGCAAATAGGTCGGTGAGTGCTGGGACTACTAATACTCCATTCGGGCTGTAACAGTTCTTAGGATATTCCATTATACCGTAGTGGAAAATTTTGTTTTCAGCTCTGGATCCAATTTTGTTCTTTCTGGTACTGTGATATCGTCTCGAGCTATTATTTTGTAGACGGACTTAACGCATTCGTCTTTAATTCCAAACACAGTAATGTCCTCAGAAGCAGAGTGCATTTCGTTATTTTTTGAATTCCAAGGAAAACCTATATTTCCGTAGAAAAATTCTAATCCCAGTATGCAGTTTGCTACATACGTTGTTATGTTGGTAGGCCGAACTTCCAAACATGATGTTAATGTTTAATATTCCATCGATGTCGATTTTATCCCCGGACACAATCTGGAGGTAATGCAAGGCATTTCCAATTGTTCAGCCAAATGTTTTGTATGCTTTCCAGCAATTTCAAAAAATCGGAGGTGCTTCAAATTTTTCGTCTGCTGGGAGAAAATGATATAAGAGGATAGAGACTACCAATTTTCAGTTGCGTTCAGAGTTTTGAGAGGACTGTATGAGCTTACGCATTTGAGGCCCTTTATATTGCCTCGTGTTCAACGTTCTTAGTAATTTGAAGTGGTAATTATTATTTGTGTTCTGTCATACTGAAAATAGGTGTGCGAATACTTTTGTAAAAAGTTCCAGGAATGTAAAGTGTTGTTGGAAAAATAAATTTCATCAAGTTATCATCGATTCTGTGTGCATTCAATCCATTGTTAACCTATACGCGAGGAACAACATATTTGAAACGAACTGTTCTACACAGCAGTGGAAAATTGTCAAAAAAAAAAAAAAAAAAAAAAAAAAAAAAAAAAAAAAACCTACTATAATATTATTCCATCCTAAATTTATTCCGTAAAGACAATTTTTTGCATTGGACTTTAAAAAAAATATTGAGTTATTTCAAGAAAATAAAGTGACGATTCCCACGTTGCCAGGATACAAAATCCCCACAATGAAAACAGTAACACTTTCTTCAAGGTATTCCATTTTTTTATTTTTCTTTGTAATCGGAATTATTTAAAAAAATTATTCCCTGGCATGTTTAGTGCGAGTTTTTACCTAGGTGGCGTTTTATCACTGGGGTGCCTAGTGCTGAAACAAATTGCTGAAAATTTAAGTAAAATTTTTAAGAGATTTTTCGGACCTTTCACTAAACCGTAACAAGTTAATTGATTAATACAAACCAACTCGTGGGATATCTATGAAAGAGGTGCAATAATAATGGAATTTTTAAGGTAACTCATATCCACGTTACATGTTGGGAAAACTATATTTACCCACGCAGCCGGCTCGTTCTCCGGGATTTAACCTAGGTCAAACCGTTAATATTCAGCGACTTTGTGGGCACTAAAACTGTATGTTATTTAAATGATATATGCCAGTTATGCTGGACCCATACGTTTATGGATGGTGCATGGCGTCATAGCTTCTTCGACCCACTACATTTTTAACAAGGTTTCCCTGTTGAACAAGTAAATAAAAAATTACATAGTTGTATAATTTAGTTGGTTTCCAATTGCAAAATCAAAAATGTTTTCAAAGTCGTAAATCATTTACTGCCTAGCTACATGTTTGTGCAAAACGAGGAAAAATAAAAATTAATCAATTAATCTGAAAAGAATTATGTCAACATACAAGAAAATGCAATGAACAAAGTTTCCTTCGAAACATTCCTTTCTGTACGAAAGCATCCCAACAAAACTACTTCTAATATTCAAATTAAATTTAAACCTTTACCCGGAAAATTCTTATAGGTACCTTGAAATGATCATTTAATCTTTTTTAAATAAATAAATTTAAAAAAAGTCCATTACAAAAGCAAACCAAATCTCACTTAATACAAACTTATTTTTATTTGTCGATTGGGCCTCTGATATTGCTTTTTGCTATGTAGCTTGTCAAATCTTTGTGCCAACTCTCATTTCTTTCTCAACTAAACATGAATAACAGCTTTGCATAGCTGAATTTAAGGGCGGCCACAAAAAAAATCATGCCTTGGAAGTTTCGGATAGTTTTTGTGAAAGCAAGAATGCAACAAATTTTACGTTTAATTTCTTGGAATACAGCTCCTGGTTTTTTATTCGGCGGACACTGAATTTCTTCCGCTCTTCTCAACTCATTTACAATTTTAGTCGAGCTTAATGTGTATGGTGCTGCCATCTATCGACATAGAACATCACAAGATTTTCGCTGACACGGCTTAACCCTTTATGTCCCAAATTATGATATTTTTAGAAACCTTGTGCAATATATTTTTTATGCTCAATTTAACTGTAGAAAGACACACTAAAATTGATATTCATTTACAATAATTATTTTTATTGTAATAACACAGAATATTACACGGGACTTAGTCCCATTGGGATTTATGTTTATTACATTACCATTACATTCATTAGTATGAAGAAGAAAAAATATTAAATATAAATGAAAAGTAATATATTTTTATACAATTAATTATGGTATTGATAAAGGCAGTTCTTTTTTTCATTAACACAAATATATACTTTGCATAATTCTTTTTGGTGTCATTTCTTCACTTTCAGTGTCTTCACTTGAATCGCTTTCAAAGTCTGAAATTTTATGAATATTAGTCGCATTCAAACTTTGATTATTTGTTTTATTTTGTTCTGGTGAATCTTCGTCAGAACTACTGTCCTCTTCTGATGTTTCAACATCAGATGGTAATTCATCCCAGATAATTTTAATTTCTTCCGGCGTCAAGCATTTTCTTCGTCTATACACTATTCTAAAAAAACAGTAATCGAAAGTATTTTGTAAAAGGGAGAAAAACTCTAAAAATTTGTAAATACTCAATTACAAAACAAAAAAACCATTAAGAAATGCATATCAGGATATTAAGAAATGCATATCAGAATAATTGAATATATTCAAGTGCTAAAAATAAATTATAATAAAATGCAATAACAAAAATACATTAAAAAAACATTCAATTTTCACCAGGACCTTTATGACCCATCGGGACTTCAAAGTCCCGAAAGAACAAAACAGGTTGTGTTAGAAAATTTTCACTGAATTGGTTATATTTTGAATTAAAATTACAAGTTCGTAAAGAATAGGTAAAAAAAATATATAAAGTACTTACCAATCAACATTCTGTTGTTACAAAGCTTGGAAGTACGTTAATAGCTTTTTAGCAAAATGGCCATTTAAACTGAACGTAAGACGAAACTGTTCACCCATATCGATGCAGAACAAACCATTTATATAGTGCTGCCATCTACTGATCATTAGAAGAAGGTTAAATGAAAGAGCTTAAGAGATATTAATCGCTAGAAATAAAAATCATCATAAGGTAAGGTTAGGAAAAATTGAGATTAATCCTTTGAAAGATAAAATGTTTCGTGAATGATATTTTGAGTAAAAAGGCCCGTTGGAATTCATGGAAGACTTTTAATTTTATTTGACTTAATATTAATTGGGACTTACAAGTCGAGTCGGAGCATAAAGGGTTAAGACAGGGGTGGACATTATGGAACACCGACGCCAGCTAGACTGGAGAATCGACTTTTCACAATCAATGGGGTTCTGTTTACTTAAGGAAATGATTCAATGATTCAATGAATGTGTAGATGACACATGTACACTGCGGGAATATATATATATATGTGTAATATTCGTTCTACTGGACCGATTGACGAAATTAAACTTGCGTTTCTCATGTCTTGAAAGCGCGACTTAGGATATGTATTAGATTTATATAGCATTATTCTAATATAGGTATTTTGACACAAAATCGGACTTTTTCTGAAATTACATGCCAATCTATTTCCATAATTCGACTGTCAAGTTTTTAAAATTCGCACCAGTATAAGACGACTCAAATTCAAAAATTTAACTCAAAATTTTTGCTCCTCAGTCTTAATTAAATTTGATATATATTTATTTATACCTCATTTTTTTTAAATACTTGATTCCTTCCTCCAGAATTCGAAATTTAGGCCTAATCCAAATATAATTCGGAGATTTTTTATGATTAATTTTTAAAATTTGTATTTTTAAATATTTATAAATTATATAGGCACACCTGCAAAATATTTAGAGTTTTTATTCAAAATTTTCTAAGATATACATGAATTTACATATTGGTGCGTTTTGAAATTTGGCATCTTTATTTTTGGGCGATAACAACGCCAAACCATAATATAATACGCACTTTGTTAAAATTATTTGAAAGTATGAACGATGACTTTTTCCCGCTTGTCTACAATGAAAAAAAGAAAAGGAAAATATAGGTTGCTATAAATTAATAAGTTCGCCATGTGAATTATTCTTGGCGAAAACTGAAAAAATACGTCAAGATAAATTTTTGAATTTCTTTGTAAATTTCGCACCAAATTTTACAAAATTCAATATTTAGGCATAATTTGAGTCGTAGAATCGAAAAACATTAGCATGAAATTTCAGAAGTTTGATTTTGTGTCAAAATATTTATGTTAGAATGATGTTACATATAAATCTAACATATTTCCTAAGTTGCGTTTTCGAGATATGAAAAACGCAATTTGAATTTCTTCACTTGGCCCAGTAGAAAGGGAGATATAGAAGTGTCCCTTTTTTTTCGCAGTGTACCTTCATTAGAAGCGCAAGATGACGCTGAAGTACATTCATCGGTTACAGAGTCATTGGTTCACGGGTTCACGTATGTTCGCTGCATCGCCCACGCTCCACGGTCTAGCAATCTTTGAAGTTCTTCAAACATTCAACTTGACAATTTTGAGTTACTTTTTTTGTGTGTGTGTAAAAATAGTAATCTGTTATGTTTTAAGAGGAGTACAACGTCGAAAACAATTGTTAAAAGAAAAACATATAATTTTAACACAGAATGGTAAGAACAGTTTTTCTTTAAAATCTCTTTACAATATATGATGCAAATGTGGCACTTTAAAAAAAAAAAAAAAAAAAAAAAAAAAAAAAAAAAAAAAAAAAAAGGAAACATTAAAAAGCATAGCATGGAAGTTTTGAAAGATTTTCCGTTAAAAAACGAATTGCGTAAACAAAAGTTAAAACAATTTAAATCGCAATAATCGGCACCAACAACCATTTATCTTATTAAACCCAATACTTTATCTAAGCCTGCAACAATTGCATCTTTTTTTGTGAGTCACGAGTTAGTAAAACGTAAATCTTTTGCAGATGGAGAAATGATTAAAAAAAGGAATTTCTGAAAGCCAGCAATTCATTCAAAAACAAAAAAGAAATTATTTCCACAATTAAAGACGTACAGCTTTCGCGTAGAACTGTCATGCATCGGATAGAAATGATGAATTCTGATCTGAAGATATTACTGTGTTTACTTTTCTTTCCAGTTTGACGAATCTATGGACATAGTTGATATATATATATATCTCAACTTTACATTTTTATAAAAATGATATTTGAGGATATGAGTGCAAAAGAATTATTAACAATGTTACCTCTAAACAAGAGAACATGAGGTAAAGATGTTCACTGTGCCTTCAAAAATTACATAGATGACAAAAAAATTACAATTTCTAAAGTTGTATCGATGACAACTAATGGGAGCCCCATCAATGACAGGCACACTCAATGGATTTTTGGCTATGTGTATCAGAGACGATGACGGACAGCATTTCCCCTCTGATCATTACATTATTCACTAACTGGCCTTTATCCTATTGCAAAATTCTAAACATTCGTCATGTTACGGAAATCTGCATGAGAAATGTGAAGTGAATTTGAGAAAGAAGTCTTCAGAGAAGAATGTTTCGGGCCGAAAATAAAAGAAAACGAATCTGATTATGGGGGAAATTGTTGTATCATGCAGACGTTCATTGGTTAAATCAGAGTACTTTTTTTACAAAAATTCAGGGACCTACTACAAGAGGTAAAGGATATTTTGAAATCAAATGATAAAGCGTATGTTGAACTTAGAGATGACATTTGGTTGATGGATTGAGTTTATGTTGCTGATATAACAAGCCATCTTAATTAATTGAACTTAAATTACAAGGGGTGGAATCAAACAATATTAGAATTGATTGGATTTGTTAATACTCTAAAAAACAAATTAAAGCTTCCCAGTTGATGAAGAAAGAACTAAAAAATTTCAAAAATATTTCTGACAAGTTGCTTAAAAACGGAGGTACATTAATCAACGAAAACTATTATTGATGACATAATAAAACTTCACTCCGAATTTGAGAGACGTTTACAAGAATTTACTAGACTAAAACCAGTTGTTGCATTTATGTGTTACTCATTTGGCAATGTTGATGTGGAAGATATAACTGAAAATATAAATTATATATATTTTCATCTCTTGATGAAAACTAAGTTTTTCCCCCCTTCAAAATGACATTCTAAAAGCACGTAGTTCAGAACCCAAGAATAATTTTTGGAATCTAATGAACAAAGTATTCTAATTTTAAAAAAAGTTTCATTTCATGTACTATCGTTCTTTGGCTCTAACTACCTGTGTGAATCTGCATTTTCATAAATAAATGCAATTAAGACAATATATCTTTCCCGTCTCACAAGCTACCACTTAGAATCCAGTGCAAAATTAGCAGTTACACCGAGATCTTCAAGACTGGCTATAACTACAAGAACTAACTTAAGACGAAAATGATTATTTTTTAATATATTCTGAATTGTTTGAAAATAAATTAAAAATTTCAAATTATTATATTGGTTGCTATTATGTATCTTGCGTTTTCCTTTAAATGCAGTTTAAAAAGAGTAAAAAAAATTCCGTATTTATTATAAAGTTTTTTTTAGGTAAGGTTAGGTTAAGTACATATTCCGTATTTATTATTAAGTTATAATAACTACAGTAGACCTCTTTCTTTAGCTCACCACACCTATGCCACTGGGTGGACCGCAACACCTTGAAAAAATTAGTAGTCGACCGTACCCATGAAAAGTCTCCCCACCCCTTGCCTGGCCAAAGGATATTTTCTACTATCTGATGTAAAAATATAACTTTAAAAAGAAAAAAAAATCTGAAAGTTTTCAGATTTTATATTACACTCAAAGGGGCCTTTTTTTTTTAACGTTTTGTGCGTCACATTTATTTATTAATATTCATGTTCTTCGCACTTAAACCATAAAATTCAATTCAATAGCAATATCACAAAATAATTTTAAAAGAGCATTTAGAATTTCCGATACACAGTCTCGTGCGCTGAATATAAAAATGTTCCCTCACTTAAAAAATTCTCTGAATCTCGGGTATGAGAACATACTTGACCTCAACATTCTCGTCACCCTAGGTAATTAGTGCAACTAGCACCTTCTCTAAATTAAACCTATGAAAATTCATAGAAATTAGTTTGTTGTCTCTTCACAGCGCAACTTAGCTGGCCCTGTAAGGGATTGACCAATGTTATGTCTAGCAAAAGGCACTGGTACAGTCAAAAGCAAATTTATGGGGTCATGCATATCGCAATACGAAACCATATTCCAGATGGCCTCCAAATCCACTTCTTAAAACCAGTAAGCATATTTTGTAATTTATGATGAAAAAGTCCAAGTGTGATGGGCTTCCTTTTTGCAAAATCTGCCATTGAGTAGATGGATTGTTATTTCTAAATGATACAAAAGAGAAAATACGTTAAACCTCCAAACAAAATTATCAGACATTGTCTTTCATACAAGTACGTTACAGGATAAAGGAACACTGAAAAATATACATCAGTAATGCTGTATAAGAGGATACAAGTCAAAATTGACTTTAGTGCTTCTTAGCTCAGATGTTTCGATTAAGGTCAGGAAGACCTAAAGCGTTGAAAAATAAGATTTCTTGGAAAGCAATGAAATTTAAGGCAAGATTATTAACAATTTGACACAGGGTAATTTAAAAATTAAGTTAAGCAAATTTATGATAAATATTTAAAAATATTGCATGAATATACTGAGCACAGCCATCCCATTAATTAAAATCTTACTTTTGGGCCATAAGAATCTGTAATTTTATGTCTGATAACTTGCTTATATTTGCAAAAGTAAAAATACAAAAATAAATCATTTGTATTGTATTGTCTATTAGAGATATAAATATAAGGTGATTGATGAAGAAAACCGTTCTGTTAAAAGGGGGTGATGCAAGAAAAAGGTTGGAAACCCCTGCACCAGATATTACTCCAGCAAAATTCATTCATTACAAAAACTTTTTCAAGTACAGGAGTATGACAATGCACAAATTCTTTTTGAAGATCTGAAAAACTTCTTTCACAACAGTGAGGAAGTCTATCAAAAAAAAAAAAAAAAAAAAAAAGGCAGCATAGGCAATAATGGAGAATATGTTCTTGATTAAGAACTAATAAATAAATGTGGTCAAAAAATAATGGAATTCTTTTCATTAAAAAATATAAGTACATTTGAGCACGCACCCAATATATAATGTATTAAAATAATACAGGCATATCATACTTTAACATCGGGAATTTCATATAATGCCTGCTTTTTGATAATGGCAGTTACACATAACCAATTAAAATTTTGATTGCCAATATAATTTACAACTTAAG